TATATATATATACTTAGTCCTGCCAGGGGTTCCCTTTTCAGGTACCAAGCGGCCTAAAAAGTATGTACTATCTAGGTACCGGTAGCCTGAGGGTGAGCCGGCAAGCTCGCCCACGAGCATATCAGGAAAAACACTTGGGACGCTCAGAAGCACAGGCAGCCTCATCAGGCGCTTTCTCCCTCAGACTCCGGGGCCATCCCGTCTGAGGCCAAAGGCCGCTACTCTGAACCTCAAGAACCCTAAACCCTAAANNCAGCATGTTCACGTAGCAAGCTCGGAACCTCATTGCCATGCCTGCCTTGTGCGAGAGTGTGAGTCGAAACCCTAAACCTCTCTCATTTCTCGGTTATCAGCCCAACAAATTGGCTCCATCCTTCGTTTTCGACACCGCTCCGAAATCACGAGCTGAAAGCCAAAAAAGCCTGCACATGAAACGTCTCAAAAGTGGCAGTAACACTTACACAACAAACATCTTGGCCCAGGTCACGGCAGAATTCAAATAAAACAACATGCAAACAACAATCCCATAGGCTCCTTAGTAGTTCTTTTTCGGGATTACCTAATAGGATCCCACAAGAAGGAACTACTATGGTGCCTATGGGATGACAAAACACGGCAGAAGCAGAAAGCTGCTAGTAGAAAGCTCCCCTAAACCCTGAACCCTAAACCCTGCTTGGAGGTCCAGGGGACTTAGTAAGTAGGTTTTGGTTCAGGGTTCAGGGTTTAGGCCCTTAACTGTTGAGGTGTGTTCGCTGGCACACAATCCAAGCCCATGCTGAAAAGGGTTAAGGGTCTACTTGGAGGTCCAGGGGACTTAGTAAGTCGTCTATAAGTAGGGTTATAAATGGGGTAACTCCAGTTGGGGTACTTATAACTTCTACTTATAACCTATTTACTAAGTCCCTGGAACCTCCAAGTGAACCCTTCTTCCTCCCAGGCTATTTACTCATCTCCGGCGCTGCCACGGCAGAGACCGATGCTGATGACCCTCCGTACGTTTCGTCCGGGTTTGGCTGAGGGAGAACCACGGTTCAGCGCTTTGTATATTTCTATGTGCATTTATGTATGTATGCCTGAATGCATGCATGTATGTATATATGTATATGCATATGTATATGTATATGTATATGTATGTGTATATATATATGTTATAGTTATTTGTTTATTTGTTTACTGTTTTATTTAGTTATATATTTGTACTTATATACATACATGCATACATGCAGTGTTTAGGGCTTCTGGTTTAGGGGTTCAGGGCTGATGTTTAATCAGGATTTTGGACTCAGGAGTCTCAGTGAATGTTGACCGCAGCACGAGGAACATGTCACAAACTGCCGCGATGAGGCACTAGTGTAAGCCAAGTTGACAAACCGCTGTACAATCCTCTACCACAGACCCCACATCAACAGCATAATGTTCGCGATACCTGATGGCACTTGTCGTTCATTGGTTCTTGTTTGGGCTTTGCTCTAGGGCGTGATGCTTCACCTCCCTCAGGCTGCAGGGTTTGGGAGAATATGAAACTTGGTTCGAGGTTGACCTTGATTTCCATCTCCTCGCGACTTCCGCCTGAACGCTGAACCCTGTTATGAACCCAACAGCCCTACAAGCTCTACCGTGCGCCGTGCGCAGCGCAGGACCCCTTCACCCTCCTCCGGCGTTCCTCCAAGAAGGAGGTGCGTTTAGGGTTTAGGGTTTAGGGTTGGGGTTTAGGGTTTAGGGTGTAGGGAGTTTCGAGAAACTCAAGGTCCGTAATCACGGCCTCAGAGAAATGAGTGCCGAATAGAAGGGCCTCCATAGTAAACAACAACAAATCAAGTCCCCTGCATCCGGGTATAGCTTATAAGCGCGCCCGAACTGCAAACAAAATGACACACACACACATATATATATATATATATATATACATGTACAGGCATATATTTATATACATATATATATATACATATATATATATATGTATACATATATATATATATATACATATACATATGTGTGTGTTTATGTGTGTGTATACACACACACACATATATATATATATATATATATACACGCACCCGCCCCACAAACAAGACGTCAAACTGGGGCTTCAAAGGAGCAGCCCTTCAGGGGGGCTTTGAAGGTTTTGGTGTCAGAGGTGGGATTTAGCCAGGGAGTGACTTCAAAAACCACAGCTGACTTTGAGGCTTCTGAAGGTGGAAAAGAAGCCTGAGTTGTTAGGGCAGCTAGACGGGATTTATAAGGGCTTTTATAAGACTTCCATGAAGGGCTTCGGGGCTATACTCTTACTCAGTCTGCTTTCGGATAGTGCGATTGCGAAAGTCGTCACAGTGAGTTTGGAGCCACGACTGCTGCCTAACTCGCCCTTTCCGGCAAGACTGCACAGTGGCCTGGGTTCAAACAAGCATGAGTTTAAGGGCCTCAGCAACTGTGAATAGGGTTCCCGCCTTGTAAGTATACTAGAAGTTCCTTCACAAACCCTATTCCGCTCATTGAGGCACCGCTTGCACCGGGCAAAGCTTAAAGAGCTTGGGCCATGACGAAAAGGATTCGAAACCTTATAAACCCCAGGCCCTAGACTTCCAGCGCCCCCAGTCTCCACAGCCCGAAAACCCTGAACCAAAAACCCCAAAGCTAAAGCCTTAGCCCCCTAAAGGCACTAGGTTTGGAGCCTGGTTCCTCAGCCCCCAGAATCTCCTGTGATTTGGAGTTCACGCCGCACTTCAGCCAAGAGCCTAATACAGGTGCCTAAATAAGTCCCGATGCTATTTCGGGGGTTCCGTATCATATTAGGGGCCTAAATAAGTCCCAATGCTATTTCGGAGGTTTCCGTATCGTATTTATAGCATAATGGGCCCCAAAAAAACCCCGTTCGAAGTATAAAGGCACCCTACATTACATCTTGTTACTGTTAAGTGGCATATTGTCTGTTTTTGTGGCCCCTAAACAACCCTAAACCCTAAACCCTAAACCGTCGTCAGAAGCCCCCTCAACCCTCCAAGCCCGACTAAACCCTCAAAGCCCGACTATGTATCCCCCCCAAACACCCTATAAGCCAACAAAAAGAGGTTTAGGGTTTATAGGGCTTTTAGGGTCTAGGGTCTATAGGGTTTAGAGTATTATAAGGCTTATAGGGTTTATAGGGCTTAAAGGGTTTCGGGTCTAATTATAGGGCTTAGAGGGTTTAGGGCTTAGCCCTCACTCATCAGCCTCAACTCTGCTAGTCCGGGTGGGAAAAAACCGCTTACTTGGAGGGTCGGGGGACTTAGTAAGTAGTTATTTTATAGAGTTATAAGTATCATGACCCAATTAGGATCCCTTTTAGTGTAAGAGGAAGTCTACTTTTTACCGACTTACTACGTCCCCCGACCCTCTAAGTATGGCCAGGTCAACATCTTCGAGGGCACCTTCTTCGGAGAGCACACCATGCTCTTCGGCTTCCGCAGGCCGGGTCTTAGGGTTAGGGTTTAGGGTTTAGGGTTTCGGGTTTAGGGTTTAGGGTCTGGGTTTTAGGGTTTGAGGGTTTCGGGTTTACGGTTTTGGCGGCGCTACTTCCCAGATGCAATAGTCTGGAAGTGCTGCTGCCCAGCTGGTTGGCAGAGTCTGGGTTCAAAAAAGAAAGGTGTGGGCCCTTGTTCACTTTTTGTAGTCTTGGAATTGGAACTCTTGTGAAAAAAGTATCCAATACCAGCAAGGAGCCCTTGTTATTCCTAGGTTACCGTGGGTCCTAGTGCTGCTAATCAGGAAATTCAGGTGTTGGGCTTAGGTGGTTGTTATTCAGAGCGCTGTGTTTCTTTAGGGTTTGGGGGTTGCGGACATTTTGTGGGATTTGGGCTTCATGGTTTTGGGGCTCACCCATGAAGAAGCTGGGAATTGAAGTATTCACTTATGGTCTCGCCTTGTGGGATCCAAGACATATAGCATAGCCGGATTTTTCAAGCAGGTCCCCTGACAGCCCCTTTCTACCAAAATGCTATCATCAACCGCAAGACCCTCTTCTAGCAATGATAGCTGTCAAATCCTTTAAAGTAGCTCTGCACAGGCGCATGACGGTGCGTGCTATCCAGCCCACCGTGGTTGGAAAGCTTAAACGGGACGTGCAGCTTAGATGCAGATTCTGAAACCCTAAGCACTACATCCTCCCTGGGCTGTAGGGAACCTTTTCCCATTGCTGAACTTGAAGTTTTCGGCTTTGCGTTGAGAGGGTGATGCTGGGCATTTCTTTCCAGCCCGGTTTCCAACAAACCCTTTGTGCAGCGGTGGGTTCTGCAACGGCGTGTCCTGGTCCTGGAACTCTGTGGATGTTCGAAGTGAGTCAAGAGCCTACAAACTAAATCCGAAATACTTCGAGCTTTTTCGAGGGCTAATTACTGCGGCCTCCGATATGATGCTGGCATCGCTGTGCTCTCTGGTATCGCCTTGCCTTGTTGCAACTGTGACGACGACTACTACTACGATTACTACTCATCCTGCGCCGCCTCCTCCCCACGCACCGCCTACCACCAGTATGCGTGCAGAAGCAGCAAGTTTGGCAACCAATATATCGCATGATTCCTGCAATCTCCACATACTGCTGCGGGCTTGGAATTCCCAAATTGTCGGCAGACGTGCTGGAGGTGCTTGAAATGTTCTCATAGGTAGTGGTATGTTTGCGAATGCTTTCGAAAAGTAAGTCAGTGTGTGTGTGTGTGTGCGTGTGTGTCTCTGTGTGCACGAGAGAGTGAGAAAGAAATCAGCAGCATGCATGTTTGCAGACTCGAGTGATTGAGCGAGCGAGCGACTTTGCAGGTGCAGTCGTACTGTTCGGTTGTCATCGATGACTACGTACTTCTCCTTGGAAGCCCAGCAACCGCTTATGTGCGCGGTTGCTGTGCTGCATGGGCTACATGGTTTAGACGCTTTACTACATGGGTAAGTGGGCTTCTCGCGTGTTTCTGCTTCCTAGAGCAAATTGGGGGATCGCGAAACGCCCACACATATCGGGAATATAGGCGTCGACTATAATGAGAATAGTATTTTCAGAAACTTTCCACACATCTCTGCTATCCAAGCCTTATTCTTGTCACTAAAGGCCCCTATAGCTCACAAGGTACTACAATGTCGTCACCCGCTCGGCAATGCACGAGCGAGGCGTGCGTGAGAAGTATCTCCGCACGGGTGTGCCGATGTTCGAGACGTGCGGCGGCCAAGTCTTGTGGGAATATAGGGTTCAGAGATTGCTTATTTGGGGTGAGGGGGGCGACTACAATTTACCCGGCAAGCGCACTGCAGATTGAGAAGTCCGCGCCTTGCTTGCGCCCTAACCCTGAGCTTGTCAAGATCGTCCTGAAAGCCCAAAGCTTAATAAAGGAGGCCCACTAGCCATCCAAGCACTCACTCATCTACAATCCCTGTGCAGCGATGGTAGAGTTTTCTCTGAATCACAGCCTTTGTTCAGATTCGAAGATTCACCATATATGTATATATATATATATATAGTGTGTAAGCAAAATCCGAAAACCTGAAGCCCCCAAACTGGCGGAGAGAAAGGAGCGATACACTTAACAATGAAAAAGAAAAGCAGGCCCCAAACCCTAAGCCTTCAACCCTAAAGCAGGCCAGACATTTGAGGGTGTATATTCTTGTCGCCAGCTGTCGTGTTACCAGGTCAGGTCTCCTATACGTCAGCCGATTTGGTTATAGTGTTTTAGATGTTGGGGTTCTTATGTATTATGCTAAGGCCAGTCTCAAAGTGCAAAGCTTCATATCCGCAGGCACCGGGGACATATCCCCTAAACCCTAAACCTAAACCCCAGCTCGGGACCTTAGCTTGCCATGCCAGCTTCGTGCGAGTGTGTGTGTGTGTGTGTGTCGAAACCCAGTAGCGATCAGCCACTCTGGCTACCCTGAAGGCAGACGGCCTAAAAAGGAGTTTCCCTAAACTCCCTGGTTCTTCGTCGGGAATGGGGGAATGGATCCCTATGATGGTCCCTTATAGTAGTCCCTATAACCCACTCCCCCATTCCTTGCTAAGAACCGGGGAGAAAATCTATCCTGAAAGCAAGAATCCAACGGCTGCCCAGCGCGCTTCATCAGTTAATGTCGCAGGCCACATGAGCTTCGGGGCTTCAAAGTTTAAGGATTCAGGGTTCTCCTGAATCTGAAGCCACTCATTAACATTCAAACCTAATCATGGGCCCTGAACCCTGACAACTCAAGCCAACTCAGCCCCCAGCTACTGAGTACAGCGGTGGTGGGGCGACTTTAAATACGATACACTGCGATACCCTTACATGCGAGCGGTATGTGTACGAGTGCCGTACAAAAGCGCTTAAGAAGATGGTTTGTGTCGGCCCCCTAAACCCTGAACCCTAAACCAGAAAGAGAGAGAGAGAGAGAGAGAGCGAGCGAGCCCCAAAACCCTAAACCCGAAACCCTAAACCCAAGCCCCAAGTCGAGGCTTCTGAGTATGGCCTTAAGGTCTACTTATATCTTACCTCACTCGGCCAAGGAGCAGAGGAAGGTCCCTAAAGCCTAAAACCCTAAACTCTAAACCCCTAAACCCCAAACCCCTAAACCCTAAGGGTTTAGGGTTTAGGGTTTAGGGTTTAGGGTTAAGGTCCCTAAAGCCTAAAACCCTAAACTCTAAACCTCTAAACCCTAAGGGGAAGGTCCTGCGAGCTGTTTGTCTGGAGTTGTCAGTTCCCTCAGATTCCGTTTCAGACCTTGCCTGCAGACGCGTCCGGGTGTAAGCGCCAACAGGAACCCTGAGCCCCTAATTTCCTAAACCCCTGAACCCCTAATTTCCTAAACCCCTGAACCCCTAAACCCTAAACCTCCAAATTCCCTAACCTCTCTTAGTTCCCAAGAACCGACCTTTAAACTTTTTGGGTTCTTATAATGAAATAGCAATCTGAAAGTTTAACCCTTTCTTTCCCTGGCTTCTTGGGGAAGTAAGAAAACCCTAAACCCTAAATTCCCTAAACTAAACCGTCCAAACACCTCACACAAATCCAAAGGTTTGATGATGAGCTCATCGCTCGCATCGCCGACATCATGGAGACGCCTGCTCCAAGATTTCGGTTGGCTCAGAAAGCTCATACCTATAGGCCCCATAGTAGTTCCTTTTTGTGGCTTCTTTATGTAGGATTTATTAGGTAATCCCAAAAAGGAACTACTAAGGGGCCTATGGATAAAGCCTCCAACGCCCTATAGGAAGTCTGTAGACTACGGGGTTTAAGGCTTGGGATCTCAACAACTCAACAAAGGCCGTGACTATAAGGGTTAGGGTTCAGTATTTAGGGATACTAGGCTTTAGGATTGAGAGTTAGCCAAGTACAGCTTTAGTGAGCAAGGCGCCTATATCAGTGGTTCATGGGCTTACGGTTTACGGTCCAAGGATTAAGGGTTTGAGTTCTTGCGGTTTAGAGGTCCGGGTCGGAATTATTGGTAATACTGCTTTCGTATACAGTCCCTGTTGAATTTCACCTTAACATTCACCGGAACTCCATCGAGCTACGAAGATCCTTGTACTTGGGGTGCTCAAGATTCGAACGTATTGAATGGACCCATCACGTGCGTACATAGAGCCACTATGTGTGGTAGCGTTTGTGCATATCAGGACTTCTTTATAGAGACATCAAGGCAGTAGTATCTTGCTGACTTTCCGACTCGAGTCTTTTAAGAGCTGCTTTCGCTCTTGTATTGGAGGCGTTTGTGAGGTTTAAGGTTAAGGGTTTGGAGCAGAAGTTTCCTAAGGTGCAAACTTGATTGCAATGGTTTCTGATCGCACTTTCGTCCTGCTTGCCTCGCCACCAGTTGTTGGTTTGTGACTGCAAACAGGCGCTGAAAGAAAACGTTCAACAGTCCTCGCGCCATTCAAGACCGATTCGCTTAGCTAAGCAAGTAGCTACCAAAAAAAGAGTTCCCCGTCTTGGAGTCTGGGGGGCTGTAAGAGTGCACTTTTTGAAGCTTGCTGACACTGTGCTTGTTGCTAGCTTCTTTTATGGCATAATTCTCCCTAAGGGTCCATGTGCCCAAATAGTATATACTTTGGCCTTAAAGTAGTCCCTATATAGGTACTTTGGGGCCAAAGTATATTCTATTTGGGCACATGGACCCTTAGGGTCTTTTGGGTTTAGGGTAAAAGCGCACTCCCAGGGGCCTCCGTTTTGTATGGTTTAGGGAGTTTGCCGAGTGAAGTCGCAGAAGGCATGTTGCAAACAGGCCCAATGGAGACTCCGAGTGAGAGCAGCCACCCGACCTTAATTTGAATATCCAGAAACTACTACCCTAAACCTCCTAGACTAAACAATACGCTCTTAAATCCAAAACTTCTCAACTCTTGAACTCGAGTATAAACCCTATATGAGCCGGAGCAAGGAAGCGGACCTTCAAGCGCGGGGAGGTCATCGTAAAGCAGGGAGATGTGGGTGCAGAGCAGCTTGAGCAGCGTTTCTCTCGAAGCCCAAAAGTTTCGGGGCAAGGTTTCGGGTTTGGGGCTTAGGGTTTAGATTTTGTTAGGTAGTAAACCACCAAAAAACCGATACTCTTTCAAGGACGTGACATCGTAATGAGGAGCTTCACGTAAATTTTTTGGTCCTATAGGTTTTTGGATTAAGGTAGGCCTTAGGGGTTTAGGAGTTTAGAATTTAGAGTTACTGAGACTCTATTTCGGGCTGTGTAAAGCTCTGAACTCAAAAACTGCCTGTTTGGATTTTGTCCTTCAGCAAGTCTCGGTATGGATGTGAAGGTATCACCGCATAACATGCAGCTGCACCCATCACATTGAGGTTCTTCATGATCCTCCGCGGCCAATGCGAGGCAAGCATCCGCGTGGCCAAGGCACCTGTCCTTGGCTTTGGAGTTCCATACTTTAATACTTTTTGTTGGGGACCTGTTCCTCAAAGGAACCATTATAAGATTAAAGTCTATACTTTTTTCTCCCTGGTTACTTCAAAGCCCAGTGTCACAAGTTTTATGAGCCTGGTCTCCTGCTCGGTTTCGTACAGCCGTCAAGTTCTTACACTGGTTTGATTCATCAATGGGTTTAGGGTTTAGGGGTTTAGGGTTTATGCAGACCCTTGGCTAATGGAGCCCCCTGCTATGACAAGGATTTGGGTGACTGGGGCTCCTACAGATGCCGATGACTTTTCAACAAGGGTGTTGACAAACCAAGGGGCCGCATCTTGATCTAGCGTTGCACAATGTTGCACAACCCATCCCTGAACCCCACACATCCCCAAGCCCACGTAAACCCTACGGGTGTGAGCCCCAAGCTCCATCCACCCTAAATCCTAAAGCTACTACTATAGGGGCTTAAAGAATTCCCCATACTGCTTTGGAGGTTCCATATAATAGTAAACCCTATAAACCCTAAACACCCTAAACCCTATAAGCCCTAAACCCTAAACCGACTGTACTTGGAGGTCCAGAGGACTTAGTAAGTCGGTTATAAGTAGGGTTATAATTGGGGTAACTCCTGTTAGGGTACTTATAACTCTACTTGTAGCCTACTTACTATGTCCCCTGGGCCTCCAACCATAAACCTCAACACTAAACCCTAAACCCTATGACTCTAAGCCCTAAACCCAAAACCCTAAAGCCTAAACCCTATAAACCCTAAAAGGACTGTAAGGGTGCCGGGTCAGGTTGGCTCCGAAGGCTTCGATGAGCACGTCGTGCGCACCTACTCGCAGGGCGAACGCTTCGGTGGCCCGGCCGGTTTTTCGAGTTTTAGGGTTGATAGGGGTCATAGGGTGCTTTATAGGGTGGATTAGAATTTTTATCGGGCTTAGAGGGTTTATAGGGGTTATGGGGTGGTTTATAAGGTTTATTGGGTTTAGAGGGTTTATCGGGTTTTTAGGGTTTTTGGGGTTTACAGGGTCTACAGTTTTTACCTTTTACAGGGCTTTAGGTATAGGGTGTAGAGTTTAGCAGTGTGTAGCCCTTTAAGGGATCCTATAAGGGCTTGAATGGATCCTGTACGGCACTCCTAGAGTTTAGGGTTTGCAGGGTTTCGGCTTTAGTGCTGGGGTTGTATGGTTTAGAGCCTTGGGCTTGGGGTTTACAGGGTGTACTGCCCGACAGGATCCCTCTAAGTATCAACATACTGTTGATGGACAAAATCCTGCATGACCTTAAGGACCTTAAACTATGGGAATTATGGTATATTCCTTATAATGGGTACTGCAGGATTTTGTCCATCAACAGTAGTACCAAGTAGGGTTTCTAGATTAAGGTGGACGATTCTGTTTTGTGAAAGTACCGCCTCCCCCTTACACAGGTAAGTAGTGGAAACCCATCTCCGACGGGTCTAGCTTGAGCGAAAGTTGCTGATCAGGTCCAAGCACAAAAGTTCATGAGTTGGGGAAGGCTGTTGAAAGCCTTCGAGAGGGTTTACCCCGGCAGGAATGACCTGTTCGGTTGAGGGTGAAGCTGACGTTTTTGGGCAGGCGACGGCTGTGCAGATGGTGATGTTAATGATATTTGATGATGACGGCCAGAATAGCACAGGCCTTCTATGATGATTGTGATGACGAAGATGAAGGCCATCATGAACAATGCTGATGACAGTGTACCCCTGGCGAGAGCGCTTGATCACGGCGGCATTTTGTCATACGCCTTGTTTTTATGGAGCTGCGTACATGCATTTTTGAGGCCCCGGCATATGAAATTCCGGGCCATCGCCTAAAGAATGGTTAGATTGTCTCGTCCAGCTCCATTCGGCGAGTTGCGGTAAGTTGCGATATCAGGTGAGCTCGCCTTCATCAACCGCACACCTAGGGCAGCTACCGTCACAGCGGTGGCTGGGCATCGCAAAACAGTCAAGCTTTCAGGACCAGGATTTCGTGTCAATGGGGATGCTGTGTTGCTTTCTGTTTGCTGTTGACCGTCTTGAGCTCAAGCAGATTGTGCAGTGGGTCTGCTGGCACTGTAACATAGGGGCCGAAATAGTTACCAGCACTATTTTGGGGGTTCCTTTCTATAAAACTCTCTCTCTCTCTCTATATATATATATATAGTGATATATAGTACAAAGAGCCCCAAGACCCTATTCTAGTTATTGAGGTCGTTATATTAGAACCACGCCTTTTTGGTTATGTCCCGCACTGGCTTTCGTCTCGGCAGCTCAAAGCATTTTTTGTTCGTCGTATCGTTCAGTACTTGGGTTGCTCTTTCAGGGTTTAGGGTTAAGGGTTTTAGGTTGAGGGTTTAGGGTTTTATTAATGATTTTTTTTTGCAGAGATTCCTAGGCTTCCTCAAATCTACCACCAAGTCGTGAGGGATACATATATGTATGTATATAGATGGCAACCAGAAGCCCCCTCAGATAGCCTTAATAATTCGAACAGGTCTTTGGGGGGTCCTTATTATGACTCATGTATAGTCTAATCTACCCAGGAACCCTAGTCCAAGTACTAAGGCCCCTATATTAAATGCTCACCGGAAGCCTTACTCGCACAATGCTTGCTCGCTATACTTGGAGGTTCATGGGTAGTTATAAATATGACTTATAAGTCCTCTAATATGGGTTATAAGTATAGTTACCCTACTTATAGCCTTACTTATAGCTACCCATGAACCTCCAAGTAGCACGAGGCCGAGCCCCGGATTGCATCACTGCTTATCAAGACGTTTTTGCCTCTGCAGACACTTATGCTCCCAAGCACAATATCGGCAAAGACAAGTTGCATTTCTGCTTTTGGGATTTAGGGCTTATAGGGTTTGCAGGGCTTAAACTCTTCATCCATGACCCTTTACCGTGTATATCCCTGAGCCCGATATGCCGCACAATGCCCCTCCTGCTTTGCACCCTACAAACCCTGTAACCCTGAACCCTCACAAACGCCCAGAGCGACGCGATCCTAGAGCTCTCTATCTCGGTGCCGACAATGTGCTTTAATCCCATATTGCAACGCTAATGCCCCATCTCGTAAGGCTTTACAAGAGTCTTGTAAGCATGTCAACTATCAGGGCTTGAGAGGGCTGACACAAGCCTGTGTGAACTCCTCTCAAAGAAGCCTTTGCAGCTGAACCCAAGACCCATAACCCAAAACCCCAAGAGCTCTAATACCCTACACTCTAAACCCTACACCCTCAACCCTAAGCCCTAAACCCTAAACCCTCTAACCCTCAACCCTAATCCCTAAACCCTAAACCCTCTAAACCCATGTGACCGGAGGCAACCCAAGTGCAGCTCCTGAGCTTGGACAGGGACGACTTTGAGCGGGTCGTCGGTCCCTTGCCGGCTCTTAGGGCTTAGGAGTTTAGGGTGTAGGGCTTAGGGTTTAGGAGTTTAGGGTTTAGGGCTTAGGGTTCAGGGTTTAGGAGTTAGGGTTTAGGGCTTAGGATTTAGGAGTTTAGAGTTTAGTTTTAGGAATGTAGAGTTTAGGGTTTAGGAGGTTGGGGGTTTAGGAGTTTAGGGTTTAGGGCTTAGTGCTTAGGGGTTTAGGGTTTATGGATTACGGTTTTCTGGTTGAGGGCTTTCTTCAGGCCCTCGAGTCGCTCGGATGGTAGCCTCAGGGCCCGAGTACCTAATAATCAAAAACTCTCCCAAATAGTAACCTACATAACTACTATCCGAAACCTAAGTACCTGATTATTGGGTCCTTTGGACCCTTGGGGGTACCTTTTAAAGTCCTAGCGGAATTGAAAAGGATAGGGTTTTGGGCTTTTGGGCTTTTGGGGGCTATGAAAGCAGTCTCTCTCGTGACCAGCATCTACAGGATCCACGGCTGTTGGACACATCGGTTTGAACCTCGCACGCGCAAGTAGGAAGCAAGGCTCCGTTTCATGACAGCTTAGGACCTGCTTTGACACCCACAGGAATTGCGATCAAAGAGGTCTTTTGGACTTCGGAGCATGCGGAGTAGACATGGTGATGAAAGGCCTGCAGCTGCACCGCCCCAAACGGTCTGGCGACAAAGCATCCGAGAGATTCCGAGTAGACATGGTGATGGTGGTGAGGCTTGGGGCCAAGCGCGCCTCGAAAACATTCGAGCTGCTACTGACGGGTTGGACGTTGAAGCAGGGTGTGTACCCGGAATAAATCAAGATCGTACAGTGCCCTAAACCTAAACACCTTAAACCCTAAGCCAAGGGCCAGCGATGAGCAACTGAATTTTACCGCTGTTCCTGTCGAACCTTCTGCCACCACAATCCCAAATCCAGGTTCCTTGGACATCAAGCAGAAGGAGAACTATGCCCCGTGGCTTCTGAGAGGCGTCTGCTACAGAGAACAACGTCCCCCCTTACGTGTGCCATCCCGCGCCAGTGTATGGTCTTTCCTGTTTCTCCCTTCTCCCTCTCTCCCTCTCTCTCTCTCTCTTTATCGCTCTCTCTCGCTCTCTCGCTCTCTCGCTCTCTCTCTCTCTCTCTCTCTCTCTTGCGCAGACTCAGAAGTCTGTCAGCCGTGCGGTTGTCTAGCACTTCACCAGACTCCGAAAGAACCACTTGACTTCCTTTGTCC